GCATATTAAGACGGCGGTTGAGTGAGCCTTGGCTACTGATATCAGCGAGTAGTGGAGAGTATGGCAGACCGGGATATACTGAGGGTGACTCTTTCCCTACGACAAGATAGGACAGGAGGTTGGGACGAAGAAGCGCTAAGGAATGTTGAGCGACAGGTCAGACTCATGACGGAGCATGCCCTGAAGATACGGAGGAGCCAGAGGTACGTAGAGTTCACTGTCTACTACCATGGAGTCGACGAGAGAGTGCACAACACCTACTCAGCCATATTGGATCTGAGTGGGAGAGTTGTCTGAAGAGTCAGCAACATCGAGAGATGGGGTGCGTCGGAGGGATTAGAGCACTACAGATCGAAAGCAGGAGAGGAGATGAGAAGTGACTCGGTAGCCTGGTTACCCTATGTTCTCTCACGAGAGTCCGAATCATATAATGTGAGAAAGCTTGTGGGACCTAGAGAGACGGCGATTGGATATGACATACCCCTTCCTGTGGCGTTGGAAGGGACGGAGCGAGTGCCGATACGACACCTGGGGACGTGGCTCGCAGAGGGGCTGTTCCTCTGGACGGTGATACTACGAGACGAACGACCTGAAAGGACTCATGATCTAGAAGGGGTCGGACATCTGCTAGCCGACAGAGCGTACGATTTGGAGATAGGACTAACACTAGCAGGAACGAGCAGGAGTTGGTGGAAGCGTGGGTTATTGGCCATAGCGATCGTTAAACAGCAAGTGACGAGACGCTCTGGAGGCAGGACAAGTTGGAGTCACTTAGTATACGGTCCACCGCATTCGACCCTTTACCCGAGAGAGGCTTGCCGATTCGGGCTTCCTACCTTCGTGATAGGGCAGACCTATGGGAGCGTCAGTCGTTTAAGCCGAGCACTGGACCACACACTTTACGCGCTCTGGGAGGGCTTAGCGCCCTGTTTTAAGGAAGTATACTATGCTATCTGTGTGAGGTGGGGGCCGCCCAGTAGGGAGACGCTTAACGACATCTTAGACATTACCAACTGGGTGGACTGTCTGAGGCCGATCGATTTGGTTAGGTACTGCAGGAGACAGGCTGAGATTGATTACGAAGGGTTGGAGGAAGCAAGATTTCTCTTTGAGGTGGCGGCTTAAGGAATGCCGGGAAGGACGACTACGGCGATGCGGAAGGAGGAGCAACTGGTAAGCGCAGGATACACGGTGACAGTACTTCTCCGAGCCTACTTAGACAAGGACTTGACGGCTAGCGAGTGCAGACAACGAGCCAGGGAATTGATTCACGAGCGTAGAGCTGGTATACTTGCGCGAGTAACCTTTCAGACCTCA